AGACCCCAAATATCCAAACTGTAGGAGATCAGCTGACATATGGTAATACATACCTAAGATTGCTTGCTGCAGTCGAATGATCCACAGCAAACTGCCTTCTACAAGAGACATTCTGATATTTCACTTCTGTCAAAGATGCTACCTCAGAAGGAATATTGAAAGCTTAATGTGCCATTTTACGTGGTGAAGCTCTAACCATCCCCAATAGGAGACATCAGATGCATCTGAAAATGGTATCTGGTCCAAAGTCCAAGTGCAAAACTATGTAAAGAATGACTGCTTATATACACCAGTCAACATTGCTGAGATGATACTTTAAAAAATTAATGAAAAACTGTATGGATTGACATGGTGAGGAGTCTACAATAGTAGGGTTTAATGCACACTTGCCACTGACACCATTTTTACAACACAAGAGGAAAGGCTTCAGGTACAGCCAGCATCATCACAGAACAGTAAACTAATTTGTAATGTCTAAATTCTGCTTAAAAAAAAGTGACAAGTATTTATTCAAATCATAATTTCACGTTATTCCTTCAAAACAAACATGTTTAGTGTTTTCCCTTTCAATTTCCAATCTTTCCCTTGAAAGGAAGCTTCAGGGATCCCTGGTGCTCCTGTAACTTTGCTAACTTTGCTGTGCTCTTGTATCAAGAGCATGCAAAGAAAAACCTCATCTGGCCTTTTTTTTTTTTTTTTTTAATGCATCACCTACTAGAACCTTTAGACAAAAGTGTCCCCTTGGCACCTGTTTCTCACCCAGATCCCCTGGTCTTTTATTTCAGTTTCGTTATCTCCCCCTCCTCCGTGTTTCATTCCCTTCCCCAGGATGCCAGCTGAGTTTGCTGACAGCAGCATGAGGAGGGGATGGAAGACTTGCAGGCACCTGGGATTTCCTAAACGGAAATCTTTGGCAACTGTGTCTTTTTATTATTTATTTCCTTATTTTTAATTCCACCCACCTCAAGCTGTCATTCCTTAGCACTGAAAATGAAAAGCTGCCATTTACGTGYGTACAACAATGGAAACCTCTGCAGGCCACATGGCTCCTGCAGTTTAATTTACTTTAATTCATTTTATATTGAACCAAATGATCTTATTTGCTTTTTTTAATGGAGAGGCCTTAAGCATGCAGGGTGGGAGCCAAGCCCCCCTCTCCCAAAGAAATTACGAGCCCAGCTGCTATTAAAACTTGTACTGAGTTTTGGGCAGAAGTCCTCACAGCTCCAACTGGCCTTCTCACTGGGGAAAAAGAGGTGTCTTCAGCTGTAGGTCTGCTCCTTTTCCCACAAACTTCTGACCGCAGAGTTACAAGACTGGACTCTGATGTTAAGGTTACCTTTCTTTTTCTGCTTCTTTAAAAGTCACTCTGCCACCCACTGACTCTTCTTTCCCCCCTTTCATCCTCTTGGAGTGTCTCTCAGCCTCTTGTGGCATCTGCAGTTCCTGGGCTTGTTTGGAACCCATGGAAGTCTGTGATTAGCTTGTTGAATTTGCATCCTTTGCCCATTCTTTGGAGGGGTTGCTGGCAGGAATATTTCACTTCTGAGACATCCAAGTGTGGAACTCTCTGGCAGGCTGTGTCCAGATGACACATCAGGGAATGGAACATCTCTCGTATGAAGAGAGGCTGAGTGAGCTGGGCCTGTTTTCTCTGGAGAAGAGAMGGCTCAGAGGGGATATGATTAATRTGTATAARTTCAGGAAGGGAGAATGCAGGGAGGAAGGGGACAAGCTGTTCTCACTGGTGGCCAGCGATAGGACGAGGGGTAATGGCCACAAGCTGAARCACAAGAAGTTCCGTCTCCAGGTGAGGAGCAACTTCTTTACTGTGAGGGTAACAGAGCRGTGGAACAGGCTGCCCAGGGAGGTTGTGGAGTCTCCTACTCTGGAGGTCTTCAAAACCCRCCTGGATGCCRCCCKGTGCCACATGCTCTAGGTGTRCCTGCTTGAGCAGGAAGGTTGGACTAGATGATCTGTAGAGGTCCCTTCCAACCTTAAATATTCTGTGAATCTGTGAATCAGCCTAGCAGTCCTCATGCTTTGTACTTCAAGCGCTGAGTATCACTTTGGTTTCTGCCAACCACTTCTGGGCCTGAAATGATATTTCCTGCTCTCTGTGTTTGGATTGCAGAGACAAACCTTTCTTTCTGCTCTTTTATGTTAGTTTGCTTTTCTCAGATGTCGCATGAACAGAGCACGAGCTTTAGTAAATCTTACTTCAGCTGCCAAAGGGAAGCCTCTTCACTTTTTTCTTCTAAAATCACACTGGATCCCAGGTGGTTCTTAATTTCATCTAAAACCAGTGTTGCTCTTCTGTTACAGGGCCATAACAAAAATACATGATGCAGATACCTTAGACTGGGAGTACTGAGTGTCCCAGTAAACATTTTTCATCTGTTCATTGTCAAAATGAAACTATGCATCTAACCCAGCTGAGCCAGATTAGGTGCCGTACCCTGTCTCTGTTAATGACCTTGATAACGGTCCACAGTGTGCTTATCAAGTGTGCATTTAATGTTAAACTGAGAAGGGCTGTAAACACACTGAAGGAAAGGTTTATAATCCAAAATGGTCTTGACAGTTTGGATAAATAGTCTGGAAAACACATGAGTGCAATTCATTAAAGTAAGGCACTTTTATACACAGAGGCACAAACAATTGTGCAAATAGAATAAGAAGCGAGGCGGCAGATTAGGTGGTATGTTTGCAGGAAAAAAGACTAAAGGATTATAAAAGATGGCAGTTTGGACATGATACACAATATTCTATTACATCAGACTMTTACAAAGACTATTATCATACAGGAATGCAAGAAGCCGTGGTGTTCACATGCAGGGCATGGAGTCATTCACATGCAGTCATTCCACTCCATCCAGCATCAAAAAGATCAGATCACTAAGTGGGATTATTGCTAATTTCAGCTAATGCAAGAAATTAAAGACAGTCTGGAAGAAAACTATAAAAATAAAGATTTGGTTAAGAATTGTCTCTAAGAAAAGACACAAAAAGGGCATTATTTAGCCTACAAAGACAACTGTCCTTGATATAGAAAAAAGGAATCTTATCTTACTCTAATTGCAATAGGGAGAAGTATGAGACATAAATTGAAAGATATTCAGAGGAGATACCTCACTGGCATGAACATATTAATGAAAACCACATAATAGGCAGAGAACACAGTAAGAATCTCAAGGAGTAGCATGAAAAGTCAGACTAACTCCAGAACTTCAAAACAAAGAAAATCTGAAAAAAAAAATGCTCCAAAGTTGAGCACAAAAGGACCTCAACCCCTGAGACACTATCCATGAGCAAGTTCTGCTGTCCACTACTACGAGCCAGCAAGAAGATACTGCATGGAACATTAATCACCCCAATCCCAGTCACAACYGTGATGATTTTCTTGCAGACAGTGCAGCAATCTCCCGTTCAGATCCTGGAGCACGGGGAATTACAGGTTGTTCTGGCTTGTTATATCAGCAGAAAAATCCTCATTAAACATTAGTTTCCAAACCAAACCTCTAGTTCTAGCCTGTGAGTTTGTGCAGCTTGTTCCTTGCCACCACTGTGCTGCAGCCTTCCAGAGTCCACAAACTTCAGGGCAGACATCAAGCACAAACACTACGTTTCTAACAATTAGGGAGAAAGAGAATAACTTGTGTCTGGTGAACATTAAGACAGCAGATGGCAAATATGTTCATCAGAATTTGTTCACAGTTAATGTGTCTGAAGTGCATAGAATRTTAGAATAGTTTTAACTAAGAAAAATCTTATGTTTGAATCTACTTTYATAAAGCAGTTGTGCAGCAGTGTGCCAGGCTGTAGAAGTAAGCTGGGTTATCAGGTGCATGGAAAGAGCTCAGCTACGTGGCTACCAATTACAGTTCCAAAGGCATCCTGGGGTTCTCTTGGAGTTTTCTCATCCCAGTTTGATATTGCTTAATTTGCTACATCAGATCCTATCCTTCCTTGGATTAATGGACGTAGTGTAGAGATTGGGATGCAAAAATGAATCCAGACTGCTAACAGTAGGTAACAGCAGTCTCAGATGTCAGGGGACAGTGAGACCATCAACAACGTCCCAAGACAAAAAAAAAAGAGACTTAAAAAAAAAGAAGTGAGAAATATTGCTATCCAGAAAAAGGTATTAAAAACGAAGCATCTGTGCCCTGAGTCATTATAGGCCCTTGACAGATGTGATTTTACCAGCCTCCCACTGTAGCTGCAAATAAAGACCCCGTCTCTTTCTTCTCTCCCGACAAGGATTAATGAGTACTTGGGATAGCTCTCAGACATGCAAGCAAAGGCTGTGAACCTTTTCCAGCTCCGCAATTTGTCTTGGGAAGACTATTCACATCACTTTACCCTCCTTCCCCAGGCTGGATTATGCTCTGACCTAGCACATTAATCTCCCCAAATAATAATACTAGAAGAAGAAAAGTTAAAAAAAAAAAAAAAAAAAAAAAGGATCTGGACAAATGCCAGAATTAAATTAATAACTATCTTGGATAGCCCTGCTGCGCAGGGACAAACTGCTCAACTCCCATGCCACCCATGTCATTTGTAAGCAAAACTATTCCCAGTTTAGATATCCCCTTAAGTGCCCTGCCCGAGACTTTCTGCAATTAATGACAGTATCTTGCATTTATATTGTGCATTTAATCCCAGCTGCCAGAAAGTTTCTTTACTGAACGCAAATAATACTTTTCCCACTGACATACAGATATTACTAAGTACAGCAGCAAGACTGATCTGCAAGATATATGAATATAAATATGAAAAGCTAATTCAAGAGAGAATAGGCAACAAAAATGTTTTGAAAGTTAGTCCTGGTACATCCCTATGTCCCTACATATCATGGAAGAGAAATGATCTGTGAGTCTTGTCTTCTCCTAGGCACACCAAGACAAGGATCTGTGAGCACCTGTAATCCATTAGGAAGGATAATTTCAACAGACAGAAGCCATCAGACAAAAAGCAAGAAAAAAAGAGACTCTTACCTTTGATTTGACGGCCAGAATGATCTTAGGAAGGGCAACAATTAGGCATTTCAGCGCAATGGTGAGATACTTCAGCACAAAGTCTGTGATTCCCACAATCCACATTAGGTCAAAGAAGTCCAGCCTCTCAAGGTTGGGTTTCAAAAATATAAGGCTGAAAGGCATGACAGCAAGGCTCAAACATCAACAAAGTGGGACCAACCCCACACAGGCTTCTTGACACTAGCTCTGTCCCCTGCTGTCTAGACAAGGCCTAAGGGCTCCTCTGAAWGTGAGCAGAAGCTCACAAGGGCAACAGGAGTAGCAGTAGGACACGYGAACTTGCCCCATGTTCCTTCTTGGCCTTTTAACTTCGTCTGTTCTTGTCTGTTTCTATCAAAGTCATTAAGTTTACATCAAGATCAGAGAATCTGACTGAAACTTGCACAAACTCTATTATAAAAGTTAAGCTGTACAGTCCACACTGGAAAAGAAATTTTGTAGTGCCGTTAGTCCATAGGCTTTTGTATTTCAGACCTGCTTGTGAAACTAATCCATCTACATCCTTCTATCCAACAGACAGGGAATGACCTGAAACACCTTCTCCCTTAAAGTCTCTGTTATYAGTAGCTGTGATTCCTTGGACAAGGAAGTCACAATCAACTGAAGACCACCATGTCTGGCACACTTGTCTTGCCACAGGCTGAACTGCTCTAAGAACAGCAGTCTCTGTGACTCTGAGGCACTTGTACAAGTGAAAAAAGCAGGTGACAAAGAAAACTGGTAGGAGATCAGTTCCTTTGTGTACTACTGCCTTCAGGAGTGTTGTGCATTGACAGGGCTCACCTTGGTTAGTGGAGTAAACCAYGACCTGTATTAACTAGCATCTCTTACGTGAACCTGCACTCGAAAGGCAGTGCCCCCCTACGTAACAGACCRACAGGGACAGAAGAAGGGCCCAACATGCTGCAGAGATACTGTAATCATCCCTCAGCACCTCCAGCTGCAGCAGAGTTGGGGTGAGTAAGCCAAGACAAGCTCAAACGGGCCACAGCAGCTGATGGGAGCAGCAGTGAGGTCAGGATCATACTCAGAGCAGAAGAAAAGAGCTTCTGTTCAGAATATTTACCAACTAAAGCCTCAYGGTAAAAAGCAAAAGTTTAACAGAAAAAAGAAAAAAAAAAGAAAAGAAAAAGAAAATAACCAACCCAAAATAAAAAGCCTGAGCATGAATTAAATACTCACAACACTGGTACAGCACAACGGGTAAAATTAAACCCTAAAAACAAAAACAGAATCAGAGACTTTACTACTAATTGTGGGCTAGAAACAAGCAAAAGAAGTAAATAAATCAGGAAATTAAAAAGAAGCCAGAAAGAATTAAAAATGATTTTTTTTTAGCTGTTTCTAACCTCACTGGCCCGCTTGGTGAACTGGGCACAGGGCCCAGCACAGCAAGCACTGGATCCAGGAGCCCAAACGCAGCAGGCAGGCACCACCTCCCACTGTGACTGTACATACACCACGACCTATACATTTTGTGAGATGGCCCCAACTTCCTGAAACCTTTTTATTAACGATGACCTCTCTTTTATTTAAACTGTTCCTATCCATGTGTTTAACCTTACAAGCCTCTTGACATCTCATTCTTGTTTTCCAGAGACCAACTACTTCCATGTGGCACAAATAAATTTCCTTTTAATGCCATAAAAATGCCCCCCATACTTGTTTCTTCTTTTACTCCTTCCCACAAACCCCCTCCAGAGCGACACAGTGCTCACCATCTCACACTATGATCCACACATACAAGCCTACTCATCTGAGAGCCAGACCTTTACATTTTTTCAAGCTATAATAATTTGGAATTAAAATAGAAATGCTACTTTCTCCCTTACTGAAGCAGTTTCACACATAGCCTTCAAATGACCAACTGCATTAGGTTGGTCCAAAYGGTACGAGGGTTGTGAGCAGACCTTGACTCTTCCCCTGAATGGACACTGTCATAGGGAAGGGACTGGAAAGCAATGGAATCAGCTACAAACCAACTAAACACCTTGGAGATATCTAGCCCCAGCTCCACYGATTCAGGTTATATACATTGTATTTTTCCAGGAAATAGTTTCAGGTGGAAATTCCAAGTTCCCTTCGGTAGGACAARTATTATTTTCTTTGGGAGGATAATTCATATGGTATTAAATATTAGTATCAAAACTACTTTCTTTATCAACGAAGTTTGGTGTTTCTCCATTTCGTCCTGTTTATTCTAATGGTGTCCCCTTGKTTAAGATCTGTTTCTCAGCTTCCCRCTTGTTTTTTAATCCCTCCTTTATAAGTAAGGATATTACTGGACCAAACCCATGAATACTAACTTATCTGCACTTGAGAAYGGTTTTATTTGAACTTTAAAGTGGAGATTAACTACCCCAGAACCAAATGCCTCCAAATAAAATTCKACAATTTCATATTCATATTATCCCCAGTAATAGACTAAAAGCTTGATATTCTRCAGAGAAAACACTACAGGAAGAGGAAAATCAATGGGTTAGTTTCCAATACTTGTCCTTTATGTTCAGTCACAGAAGTCAAAATGCTCACTTAAACTCCTGGTTATGCCATTTATTGATAGGTCCTTTGSTAAAAATGAATTCCCGACTCTTTTTGTCCATTCAAAGATACTACAAACTTGTAAGAAAGATGGCATAAGACACCATAAGAAGGAGCATTTCCTCCCAATGAATGAGCTCCCTCTTTTCCTACTTAGTGATTAATCATTACCTGTTTCCTTCATACACAATGTGAATTTTGCGCACCTGTTGTACAGTTGCTGTGAGCTGAATGTGTAGAGCAAATAGAAGGTGTTTCCGGTGAGAAAGGCCAGGATCCAGAAGACAACCAACACCGACCTCTTCTCCTGAGCAAGAACAAGAAGCAGAGCAGATATATTCAAAGTCTCAAGGGTTGCATTGAGCCTTTGACTGCTGAAAAATGCAAGATCAACCCAGGGGACACAAACACACAACTAGGTATTCAGTAATTAGTTATTTACTAAGACTAGGACTCAGAAATAGGCTGCTAGGTAGCAACAAGTATAAACACAAGCACAACTGTCTGTCGCTTTTCACATAAAACAACTACAGGGAAATTAATGACAGGGAAATTAATGATATATTCTGATGAAAGCTGTACTTGCAGGACATCATTTTCAAAGTTGGCACCTTTCTTAGGACATACAAAATTCTACTGATATTCAAAACTCTGCTTGTCAAGCAGGTTAAAAAAAGCTCCAAATATTGTCTACAATTTTCACTTGTCTGTGAGGACACTTCATGAAAGGACCATTTTACAAATACATCCAAAGTCATTTAAAATAAGGCATAGTTAAATATAACTCAGTGTTACATGAACCACATATGAATGTTACGTGAATGCAAGGATGCTCTAGACCATTCATTTTTGATTTAGGAAATAATTATGGATCAGAAAAAGTGCACATTATGCATGCACATTTCAATAGACACAGAACATAACAGATAGAAGCTGGAAAAGTGCAGTTGACACAGTTTGACACAGTTCAAGTTTGGAGAGTAAAGTTTACTCTTGAGAAACAAACCTTTTTGTTTCTTGCAGGCTGATTTAATAACAAAATAGCTCTTTGAAGCTACTCAGCACCACAGACGTTAAAATTTAAAGCAGACAGATTAATAGCATTGCTGAAAAGACAGAGGTGCAAAGTGCAAAGCAATAACGATCTACAACATGACTGTGCAATTTATCTGCTTATTCAGCATTGTATCATATTTATTTCCATGGCTGTTGGTTCATATAARTACACATTTGTACCACTCATTATGTACACAGAAAGGCAAGTCTAGCTGTGTGCTTGTAGCAAGGTAGGAGTATTCTGCTAACACTGAAAATCRTAAGACCTGAAATAATCTGGTTTCTTTATATTTATGTATCAAGAAAGCATTAAAAAATATACGAATTCTATATAAAAATATACAAATATACGGAGTCTACAAATTCTTTCAGCTGAACATCTTAAAAATTTATCTAAATGCTAATAAATAAAACCTCATCACAAGCCAGTGAAATGGATTTTATCACTTCTGCTGTACRCAATAGGAAACTGAGGTACAGAGAACTACTTGAAGATGTACTTTGAGTCAATGGCAATGCCAGAAGCAGATTACAATTCTCCTGATTCTTCCTCTCCCTCCTTTTATTCTGCCAGACTTTCACAAAACAGCAGGACAGAAGCTGCAGGAGAGCTTGAATGAAGAGACGTAGACAGCGGAAGCCAGGATTATGTCAGGGTACTCTTATTCTAAAAAAATCTGTGTCTATTTAATAGCATTCATCTCTAAAGTGCAAGAGCAGGTTCAATGTCAATATTACTTTGTATGCAAAGAGCAATGACAGTTGAGAGCACCACAGTGTAAGATACTGTACTCACCTTTAAAGCAACCTGCTCCCGGAGGGTTGAGTTGGCGTATGCGAATGTGCTGGCCATTCCAATGCACACAGCAATCCCTGCAGGGAAAGATACTATCAGACTGTGTGAGGCTGGGCAGGAGCATCTTCACTCCTAACCCATTTGATAGCAGCAGCTTAAACTTAGAAGAAAATGAAGTGGGTGATATTCTGGATCCATTGGGAATTAAAATTTGTGCGCCACCAAAATAGGGCCATCCGGACACAAAGTTCTGATTTAAACTAAAGCAAAGTGAAGCTAATGCATACATGAAGTGGTATGTGCACAGAACTCCCCATCGTGAGTGGGGAATTCAGGACCACTCTGWCCTGATGGCAGAAAATGGTAGAATTGATCTTCCATATGTCACAAGAGGCAACAGATCGTGGGCCTGACCCAGCTAATAACTGCTTGGATTAAAAGCAGCATAAGAAAGAGCAGCTGCTTACCCTATCTATTAGAATGTCCCCTTCAGGCCAGACTACCTCTGGATACTGTCACATGGACAAATGTATTGGACACCACGACAAGAAGCAGCCTCCTGACCACTCTCTAACAGCCTTACAACCAAAACAGAAAAACAAACAAACAAAAGCTTACCAAGCTTATGCTGGAAACAAACTTTAGCCAGGAGGATCAAGATGAATGGAAGGCCTTTCTGCAACCACCCGATCACAGCTTTTAACTCCGAAAGAGCCGGGGCCGGCGTGCCGGCCTGCTCATCGCCGCCCTCCTCCGCGTGCCCGTGGCGGTCGCCTCCGGCCATGTGCAGCAGGGACGAGCCCCGGTGATGGCCGTGGTGGAAATGAGGGGGCTGCTGCCGGTGGTGAAAGGGGGCTCCTTCCACACGGCTCGTGCCTTCCTCCCGTGGGGCTGGCATCTGAATGAAAACTTCCCCTCCGCCCGCCGAGGAGCCCAGAACCAAACCCGCCTGGAACGGGGCGGCTGCGATGGCGCCCGAGGGGATCCCTGCGAGGCCTGAGAACAACTGCTGGGGCGAGGAAGCTTCTGCCTTGAGACTCTCAAAGACGCCACTTTCATCCACACTGGCTTCAGAGCTGACGGTTTGGCTCCGGTTCCTGTAATGTGAGGACATAAAAGAATGGCAGTTAAATAAAGATCAGTGCTTCTATGATGATTTTAATATTAAATCGACAGCATATACAAAAATGGCAATTTACAGAGTGCCATGAAGAGAGGCCATATTTGACTAACTCAAAGAAATGACCTGCCCCTGGGATCTTCCCTCTCCACTTACGGATGGTCGCCACTTGCCCACATAAACATAACATAAACAGAAAGAAAGTAAACTGTGGAAGGGAAGCATCGAGAGCTGCTTATGTGTCCCTGGCCCAACATTATATGTGCAGAATGGGTTCATGGACCAAGAAAGATAAATCTTTTTATTACTATATAATCAACAAATTCGATATAGTGGTATCCAATTTACTGGATACTGCACAGAGTTAGATGTGGCACTGGTTCTTTCCTGAGTCTTTGGATAGCTCGCAGCTAAATTCCAAAAGTCACACGTATCTTTAACTTAATATGAATAGAAACTATGTTTTGTTCTCCTGAACTGAATATTGTGGCACTGAGGTGGATATACAGCAARTTTTCACCGAAGGGACAATGTAGGTAATAGGCAGAACGATCATTAGGCAGTCAAACACCTGGCAGGCAGTAAATACTCCTCCAAACCACAGACGGAGAGCAAAGCAAAGCAAGAGGCAAAGCCTGCAAATAAGGCATGTGCCCCACAGCTCCCGCCTCTCTTCATTTTAATCCTTGGAGATTTCTAACTTTAGAAATAGTGGTGACAAGCTGAGGTAGCACATGCAGGCACGTACCGGGACCTTAACCTGCTCTSTCCCATGAGCTCCAAAGGCTCCCTGGGCATCTTGCAAGGTGCACAGCAGCGCCTTCCATCTCCCTCTGGGAGAAGCTGCAGCCCTCTCCGGGCACACCTTCCCACTACACAAGCTCTTAATAAGGCTTTTTATAGCTACASCCCATCCCCAACGTCTCTGCACAGGCTCCAGCAAGGAATCAAGTCAACAAGACACTGCACAACCATCTCGAGTTCAAAACATTCACCAGCCAGATCTCGGATTTTATACCTGGCATTGCAGTTCAGGGACATTCACAMAAGACAGGGTTAGCAAAGTGACAGACCTGCACGTACAGGTGGGAACACGACAAACCTAATGGGGGACTCAGCATCACAGACAAATATGCCAGCATTATTCGGAGTAGCACTAGCAGGACACATCACTGGTTTCAGCACGTAGGAGTTCATCAGGCACATATTTATACATGAATATTATACACATACAAATAAACATATAAACTTATATATAAATTTGTAACTCAGCTAAAGTCAATGGAAGGAGCCTATAATGTTAGGGCCATCTGATATTCACTCTACAGCTAAACACTTCCAGCCTACCTTACTGACAATAATGTATTTACATTAATGTATTTAATGTATGAATATATTAACGTATTTACATTAATGTATTTACCCAGGAAAATATTGTTATATTTATGAAAATCAATAGAAATTGTTGCTTATCTTTTGCCTTTAATAATAAATACTTATCCTGAATTTTTTTTTAACTGTCCAGACAGATCCTGAAGTGCCACAGAAGTCGGTACCGACTCAAAGTATTCTGCACCACAGCTGAGAGGGTCCACGTGATATTTTATATGCCTCTCAAGCTCCAGGGTTGCTTGCTGGTATAAACCCCACAGATTACACTGAGCCTCGAGTAGAAACACAGTGTACATGAGTTGAATATGGCTTTCCTTTGCCTTAAAATTAAGAGTRGCATCATGCTAGAACTGGCCACAACATCAACCTTCATCTCAACCTGCAAAACCACACTAAGAAATATTTAGTAACTGCTTGCGATCAGAGTCTTTCACTTACTCTCTCAGCTCAGCAAGAGCAATGAAATTTGTTCCATCTTTGTCTTAGAATAATTAGATTAGTTTCTTCTTTAGAAAAAAAAGAAAACCAGAAAAACAAAACCAAAAAAACAAACACTACTCCTGTGAAAGCACAAGGGAATATTTACTACCAGAACAACAGCAGCAGCAAGCCTACTTTTACTGATGTTATAATTACAGAAATGAATTAGGGACATTCTATTTTAAAATACTTACTTACATGAAGCTAGATACAGATTCTGGGATGATGCAAAGGATCATCCAAAAATCTTTATAATTTGACAAGTCATATCAATTTGGAGTTTCAGATCAGCAGACTTTTTGAACACCTTTGAGCTAGAAATATAAATTGCCTCTGTCCCTATAGCCTTGATCCTATCAGGTTGACAGGACTCGGGATTCCCATCGGACTGTACCATAAATCTCTCTTCCAGAGCTCCATACGGCAAAACACACTTCCTGTAAGGAAAGTGCAAGGATTATGAGGCAGGATGTGCCATAYTGGATCACCACGCCTGAATGATGCAGTTGTCAGCAGCCAAAAAACTGACATGAAGGAAAAAAATTCAACCTACCCTCACATATACTACATGTAGTAAGTACAGGCCTTCTGACTTCAGAGCTTTCAGCTTTCTGTCTTCCAAAACCACGAAACACACTGCACAACTAAATCAGAAYACTGCTTTCTCAAGAGGAAAACAGCAGAGAAAAGCAAGAAAAAAAGACTTACCTTTCAGGGGGAACGCTGTCAGTGTTGCTGCTGTGCCGTCTCTGCATTTTCCTCAAAACCTTGAAACACAAAACGCTCAACATCAACGTTGCACGTCAAGAGTTCCTGGGGTGACTAGTAACAGAGGCCCACAGAGTCAGAGAGCCGTGAAACCTGTTCGGCTGCTGACATGGCTGGCCCGAATCCCCTGCTTTTCTGAAGAGTGCCTCACGCCTAGCTTTGCTCCTTAGGACACTAGTGCAGGAGCAACCTTGACTGGCAAACAAGAGCACGGGGAAACCCGGCCCTGCGCAGGGCAGCAATCGGCCAGACTTGCAGGATGTAGCRGTTACAGTTGCCCATGACATGGTCTGAAAAGGAACTTCAGGGCGATTGGGAGCGTAGCTCTAGATGTGACGTGCGAACCCATACGCGCTCTCGGAAGTGAGATCTCCTCTTCCTCCTCTTCTGAAGAAATTTGCAGAGCAACGTAAAGCAAAACCAAGAGGGGAAAAGAAAAAGACATTTTAAATAAAAAGACATAATCAAACCATGACAATATTTTAAAAAACAAGCAACCTACTCCTTTTAAACCACAAACTTCCCATTGACAAACTCTGCACAATGGTCATAAACACTATGCACATGTGCAAAGGATCACACACGCTGTCCCTCCATTCAGTTTGGAATTGTCAGCCTAAATAGATCCTGGTTTTCGAAATGAAAAGGCTTTGAAACTGCATTAACTTCAGGGACTTTTTCTAGAACAAAGAGATAGTTACTTAAATCTCCTTTTTTTCAAGTTCTAATTTTAAGGGAGTAATTTTAAACACATTACACTTTAAAAACTGACATAATTCAGAAGTATAAAAGAGCACAGATATATCATCACAAAGCACTGCACAGAGTCCTTTGCAAACAATCTTACAGAAGTCAATGTTATATTAATTACATAAAAACTAAGGTATGGGCTATTTTTGCAAGTGATTTGTCCAGGTTCCCCCAGGCACTTCATTGATCGTTTAGAGAAGATTTTGTAATCTGATCCTATTCAATCCTGGACTTTGATAGCTACTGAATAAAAAATAAAAGACTTTAAATACTTCCAAATACCAACAGTTGCAAGAGTATCTACGACATTTCATATGGCATAAATAAATGTAAATAAATGTGCAGACCCATATCCATATACTGTAAGGACTCAATGATTCTGATAACACTTCCTAGCTGTCCATATTTAAGTTTTTCCTTATATCTTTATATTCTCATTCATACTCTGTACTCCCAGTGACCCATCAGCCCAAGCAAAACTGCCTCAAATTCAAATGTCATCCGCTGCTAAAGCCCAAATCACTCAGTTCAGGGTGTTTAAATAGACAGCTGTGGCTACAGAGCAGCAAGCACGGAAGTCCAGAAGCACATTTAYGAATAGCAGGACCAAGGACTAAGGGAATACCCCGCACGGCACCTTTCTTCTCAGAGGGTTTCATAGGCGCATGCGACTCCAGCTCCGGACRTCTCCCTGACACTAACAGAAATACACCTGCACCTACGTGCATAAAAATTTGGGATAATCTCATAAGGCAAGAAAAAATATATGTTTTTTACAAATCTATTGGAGAGGACCTGGGTAGGCTAATACAAGAACCAAAAATCCAACTCTAATCAAAATTTTCTGACACTAATTTGCAGTTATAAACAGTGCAAATTTTGATCTTCAACACCCAACAGTGTTTTAATCTCTTTAAATATGCACTTTAACCTGTGCTGTGCTCTAAGGACCGAAACAAAATAAACTAAGAATATATATATATTAAAGATATTGAACATTTTTTCCAGAGTTTTTCTTCTTTAAGCTGAATTTACAGTAACACAGTCCTCCAGGAACCTTTAGCTCCCTCCCCGCAGTAAATGCTAACTGATCATTCCCTATCAGTATGTCTACCAGCTGAGTACATAATTGGAGCCTTTAATTGACAAAATACCCTTTTGAACCAAAGCAGGAATTAAGATATGAGGCAAAAGCCAGGCTCCCAGGGTGACCACGCTGGCTCAGCCGGTACCAGCTCCAGGGTCAGGTGCCAGGAGCTGGAGTCGGCTGTGGGGCGGCACTGGAGCCCGGAAAACCCCTCCGTGCCTCCCGYTGAAGTCGACGAGAGGGTGAAACCAGTTTTGAGGGCACAGGGCCGGTCTGCGGGACGCGCTTTGGGTTGTGGTGGGCTTGGCTGCCACGGGACACTAAGCGCCGATGGCGCAGGGCTGTCGGGCCCGCACCCCGCSGGGCGCCGCAGATTTAAGGTCAGATGCGACTCCAATGGACATTGTTCCAATGGATCCGCTGCTCTGGATCGGGCACCTGCCAGCACCCGGAATTCCTGAACTACCCGGAGCACAGGCCGGAGCGGCGGCTCCGGTGGGAAGGGGACGCTGGGGACGCGAGAGGACACGACGGTGCAGCCGGTTCCCAGYGAGCGCCCACGGCGGGTGCCTCCGCCGGCATCGCCACCACACACGGGCGCGGGGAGGCCTCGCGGCGCCCACGGGCGTGTGCAGGCAGCTGTAAATACAGAGGTGTGCGCGCGCTGGGCCCGCGCGGGCCGCCGCGGCCGAACCTACCGCTGGGCCGCGCTGG